CTCCCCGTTCCATGGGGAATCTTGCTAGAGTTGGGCTCAAATTAAAAAAAAAAAAAAAGAAAAGAGGGTTAAAAAAAGGTTAGAAATCCCCTTCTGACTCTCCTCGTAGCTGCAGATCGGAGGAAGCAGCTTTGCTGTGTCCAGACGGGCTGCTTTGCCTCGTAACTCCCAGCGCAGAGCTGCCAGCCCATCCTGCCCTGGCAGGAGAGGTTGGAGGCACGCGGGCGGCGAGCGACACGGGGTCCCCAAAGTGCTGCTGATCTGTGATGATTGAAGACCTTCTCCTGGCAGACAAACCGCTCCTGAGGATGTGGTACGAGAGTGGGAGAGCCATGCGGGCAGAGAGGCCGCGAGCCAGCGCTGCTGGCACAGGGCTCCTTGGAACAGCTCCACAGAGCTGCGGCTTGTCTGGGGGGGGACGGGGAGCCCGTGTGCAGCCCACAGAGCCTCCAGCCCTGACCTGGCATCGATTCCTGCCTGCAGCACTTGGTGGGACCCCGCTGCCTCGCCTCGCTCCCCCCCCCCCCGCCACCTGCCTGTCGCTGGAGAGGTGACAAAATGGCATCTTTCCTCCCCGGCGAGGTGAGTGGCTGCCAGTTCCTCGCTGGGTCAGGCAGGTTTCCTCGCTTTATTTTTTGCCATCCCCCGCCGTTTCCTCCTCCCCTGCATCGCTGTGGGAACAGCGGGGATTGCCTCCATCGCTTCCCCCCTCCTGGCTCCCAACCTCTTCATTTTTCAGCACAGCTTTGCTTGAAACAATGGCACAAGCCTGCAAGCCAGGAATGCTTTGCAGCGCGGTGGAGCAGGGCCTCCTTCCCAATTCATCACTAATGCAGGAACGCCAAGCCCTTCCTGGCTGCAGCGAGCACAAGATAAAAGCTAAAAGAGGCATCAATAATTAAAAACCACTCAGAGCCGGTAAGTGCAAACAGGAGCCAACACACGGATCGAAGGCAGCGCCAGCGATGGGGGCTGTCAGCTGCTGGGCTGCTCACGAGGCTCCCACACCCCCCTGCGCCCCCCCCCAGCCCACAGCCACGCGGTGACAAGGTGTCCACGGGTCCAGCAAACACAACGGGTGTGAGGCCATGCAGGGAAAAACCCAAATCTTCGCTTGGGTGATCCCAATTTTGCACCCCCACTGCGTGGCCACAAACCTCCTCAGGCTGCTCTGCCCATTTTCCCTGCTGTGGGGGGAACTCAACGCCCGCCCCCCCTGCAGCTCCCCCAGCCCTGCCCTGTGTTACTTTCCCCACATCCTCTTCCCCGTGTCTGCGGCCCCACGTTCCCTGCCCTGATGTCCCCTGCCCCTTGTCCTCCTCTCCAAGCCCCCTTCCCTGTGCCTGCTGCCCCGTGCCCCTTCCCCACACGCCCTGCCCTATGTCTCCAGTCCCACGTCGCCTGCAGTGTCCTCTTCCCCATGTCCTCTTCTTCCTGTCCCCCTCTTATGTCTGCTGCCCTCTGTCCCACATCCCCTTCCCCACGTCCCCTTCCCTATGTCTCCAGCCCCACTTTCCCATATTCCCTTCCCTATGTCTGCTCCAGTCCCGTGTCCCCTGCCCCACGTACCCTTCCCTGTGTCTTCTGTCCTATGTCTCCAGCTCCCAGCCCCCCGTACCCCATGCCCCTTTCCCTATGTCTCCAGCCTCAGGTCCCCTGCCCCACATTCCCTTCCCAGCCTCCAGCCCTAAATCCCCAGCTCCATATCCCCTCTTCCATGGCTCCAGCCCCACTTCCTTGCCCAATATCCCCTTCTTTCTGTCTCCAGCCCTATATTCCCACCCCATATCTCCAGCCCCATATCCCGTTCCCTATGGCTGTTGCCTTGTGTCACCAGAGCTCTGCCCCACATCCTCTCCATGTCTCCAGCCCCACATCCCCTGCCCTAGATCCCCTCCTCCATTTCTCTAGCCCCAAGTCTCCAAGCCTCATATCCCCTCTTCTAGGGCTCCAACCCCACTTCCTTGCCCCATATCCCCATCCCTATATCTCCAGCCCCACATCCCCTTCTCTATGTCTCCAGCCCCATATCCCTTCTTTTATGGCTCCAGTCCCACTTCATTGCCTCATACCCCCTTCCCTACATCCCCTGCCCTATATCCTGATCCCTGTATCTCCAGCCCCATATCCCCATCCCTACATCTCCAGCTCTGCATTCCCTGCCCCATATTCCCTTCCCTATGGCTGCTGCCCTGTGTTTTCAGCCCCCTGCCCCCCATCCCCTCCCCTACGGCCGCTGCCCCACATCCCCCGCCTGCCACATGTCTTTTAACCCCCCCGTTACGATGTAGATGCCGACACCCGCCCTCCCCTCCCCCACCCGCAGCTCCCGGGTCTCTGCGGGCAGCGGGGCCGGGGGGGGGTGGTGGTACCGACACTCCTCCACCGCCCCACGTTACTTTGAGTGGCAGCCGGCGGCCGCCGCAAGGCCTGGTGGGCCGATGGTCCGCCCTCCCGCTCCCCTCGCCCTGACCGCTCCCGGTGCGGCCGTTGCGGAGCCGCGTTGTCCCCGGGCTGAGCGGAGCCCCGGCCGCGGTGGCGCTGCGGGGTTGGCGGGCGGTGCGCGCCCCGGGCGGGGTCAGCGGGCGGCACGTGGAGGACGGGCGGCCTACAACTCCCATCGGCCCCCGCGGCGCCCCGCCCGCCGCGATTGGTCGTGACGTCACGAACCCATGTGGGAGCTGAGCGCGACGATTGGCTGGCGCTCTGGCGGCGGCAGCCAATAGCGTGCGCGGCCCCCGCCGCGGCGGGCCGTGAGGTTGCTTAAGGTGGAGCGGCACTCGGGACTCCCGCAGCCTCCGGTACCGGCGCGTTCCGGGGCCGGCGGGGTCGCGCCACCTTAAATCGTTCCCCGCCGCCCCGTGGCGCGCCCCCGCCGGGCTGTCCCCGTGGGGATTCCACGGGCTGCCCCGGCCCGGTCACGTGATCCGCCCCACCGGAACGGAGCGGAGCCGCGGTGCCCCTACGAGGAGCGGGCGGTGCGGGGATGTTCCCGCAGGGGCGGCACCCGGTGAGTGCCGGGCTTTAGCGGGGCCGTCCCGGGAGCTCCGTGCGGCTGACGGCGCCGTGCTCTGTCCCCGCAGCCCGGGCAGCCCTTCAAGTTCTCGGTTTTGGAGATCTGCGAACGGATCAAGGAGGAGTTCCAGTTCCTGCAGGCGCAGTACCACAGGTGGGAAGAAGCAGGGGCCGACAGGTGGACGGGGCTCCGGAGCGCGGGGCTGCGGCTCGGGGTTCCCTTGGCTGCCCCTCCGTGGGTTGAGCCGGGTGTGGGGCGTAGGGAACGGCGGTGACGCCGCTGTGGGTTTCGGGTCCCCCCCCCCGGCCCCCCCACTGAGGACCGCCGCTCCGCTCCGCAGCCTGAAGCTGGAGTGCGAGAAGCTGCTGAGCGAGAAGACCGAGATGCAGCGGCATTATGTCATGGTGAGCCCCCCCCGCCGTGCCGGCCCCCCCCCCCCGGTTCCCCTTCACGACCTCAGTCCCAGCCCCTCCCCACCGCGGGGCCCTGAGCTGAAGGCTGGGAGTCAGGTGGGAGTTGATGCCGTGAGTTTCTCTCTTAATTTTGTTTATTCCCTTCTATTTGGCCTCTTGGGAGCCCCCCCTCCTGCGCCCTGGGTGGGTGCTGGGAGCCCCCCAGGAGCTGTGGGGCTGACGGGCCTCCTCTGTGTCAAGGAGGTGGATGGGATGGGGATGGGAGCATCATTCCTTCTCGTTCTGCACCTCTATGAGACTCGCTGCATCCCATCCAAAGAGCTTGCAGCCCCCTCCCCTGGGTGCCACAGCCCCCTCTGGATGGGAGCTGCCCCACAGAGTGACCCACTGAGTTGGAACCCACGCTGCTCCGGGACCCACAGCAGTGGGCAGGGAATGGGGCAGCAGCTCCCGACGTGGCCGCGCTGTGATTTCTTTGCAGTACTATGAGATGTCCTACGGGCTGAACATCGAGATGCACAAACAGGTGAGCGGGGTGGGACATCACCTCCCTCCTCCCCACATCCCTCAGGGCTCCTGCGCTGGGGTCTGGCAGCCGTGGGGCTGAGCAGAGACACCCCACCGCCCCCCAGTCCCCCCTGTGGCCCCAAGAAACAGTGAGAGCTGAAGCCCGGATTATCTTCCTTTTATATCTGCTTTCTTCTTAATTTTTTTCCTCTCCTCTTTCTTCCCTTTTCCCGAACACAGAGGAGTGTTTTCACCCTTCCCCACTTCCCCTTTTGTTCCAGCGTTAATTTGCTTTCCCTCTTCAGATTTATCAATCCAGTCATCGCGGGCTTTGTGCCAGGGAAATTAGTTTGGACCTATGCCTGACAAAGTGGCAAGTCAACTGCCATCCTCCTCCAGCTGGCTCAGCCCCTCTGCCTTTGCTCCTTTTGTTAGCAGGGGAACCTGGCAGAGCCCTCTGGCACGGCCCCATGTGCTCCCCTAACCCCAGTGGGATTGTCCTCAGGGGGTGGCTGAGGGACGGGTGCTGAGGGTCGGCCCCTGGCTGTGTGTGTTTGATCGTGGGGTGTCTGGAGCTGATGGGGGGTTGGGGTGGAGGTGGGAGGTTTCTGGGTTTCTGTGGGTTTCTGCCTTTCCGTGGGGAGGAAACACCGGGTGCTGTGCAGCACTGCTGGGATGGGGGGCAGAGCTGCAGGGCTGATCCCCACCTCCTCTTCCAGGCAGAGATTGTCAAGAGGCTGAGTGCCATCTGTGCCCAGATTGTGCCTTTCCTGACGCAGGAGGTGAGCTGGGGATGTGCTGGGAAAGGGCAAAGTGGTGCCATGCTGAGCAGAGGGGGGAGTCGGGGGGAGGGGGGGGGGAGAGAACAAGGCTGGAGGGGTGGGAGAGGTTTGGAGCGCTGCTGATCGCCCTGCTCTCAGCACCAGCAGCAGGTCCTGCAGGCAGTGGAGCGGGCCAAGCAGGTCACCATGGGAGAGCTCAACAGCATCGTGGGGGTGAGTTGCACTGTGTGCAGTGGGGAGGGCGAAGGGGGGTCTTCATTGCTTAGTGAGCCCAGCCCTGAGCTCCAGCAGGGGGGTTTGCTGCTGGCTGGTGTTCACGGAGCCCCTCCTGTCCGACTGCTCCTTCCACCTCGCATCTCATCCCGCTGCGTCTTGCCCTGCTGCCTCCTCCTCTCATTGACGACCGTTTGCTTTCTCTCCCCCTCCAGCAGCAGCAGCTGCAGCACCTCTCTCATCAGCCCCCCCATTTGCCACTGACCCCCCACCCCTCTGGTGTGCACAGCCTGCCTGGGGGGGCCGCGGGGCTGCTGGCCCTGTCGGGGGCACTGATGGCACAGTCACAGCTGGCAGCCAAGGAGGAGAAAGCCGCGCAGGAGAGCAGAGGTGAGGGATGGAGAACAGCTGCATTAACCCTTCTGCTGCTGAGCCACGTCCCAGGCATGCTGGGGGCAGCCCTGCTGCCTGCTCTGCACGCTGCCAGCTCCTTAAACATCTGCAGCCCTGCCAGGCTGGCTCTGTTTTTGGCTGAGGGAGTGGCTGTCTTGCATCGACGGCTTCCAAAAGCGTGGGCTGTGTGCATGGCAGTGTGCACACCTGGGTCCTCTGCACCCCTGTGCCCCCCTCCGAGGGTGGACCTGAGACACCCCCCCTCCCACCCTGCTTACTGCAAGGGTTCACCCCTGATGAGGATCTGTTGCTTAAAGTTGAGACTTGAAGGGAAAATCTTGATGGCCACGAGGCTGTGGTGGGAGGCGTAGGTGTGCAGGAGGGAATTTGGGGCAGAAGCGAGGTGGGAAACTGGCACAGCCTTCCTTCTGTCCCACTGTGCCCCCTCTCCCCCCCATGGGCATTGCACTGACAGCCCCTTTCTCTCCCTTGTCCTGCCCTGCTGACCTGCCTGCCCTGCCTGTGCTCCAGAGCGCAGCCCCAGCCGGGTAAGTGGTGCCTTGGGGGTGTGAGGACAGCGAGGGGCTGTGCTGGGTTGGGGTCCTGTGGGGTGGATCGTCTGCTTTGCAGTGGGGCAGCTGCCCCCAGGGACGGCCCTGTTGGAACAGAGCGGGTGGGTTTGGGCTGAAAGGTGGGAATGTGGGAGGAGATGGGGGGGTGGGGGGGCACAGGGCCGGCTGCCTGCCCTCACCTCCTGTCATCTGCTCAGAGCGTGTCGGCATCTCCAGAGAGCCCTCCTGACGAGGAGATGGGGCTGAAGCGGAACCAGGAGGAGAAGGAGCCGCCTGGGCGTTATGTGAGTGTGGGGCTGCTGGGTGGGGGGCAGGGATCCTGCAAGGAGACGAGCTGAAAAGCCCCATGGAGATGGGGGGGCAGAGCTGCCCGTGGGGTCTGCAGAGAGCAGAGCCTGGTGCGGCCTCTTCCTTCGGCCCTGACCAAAGCATTTCTCCCATCGCGCAGGACAGCGACGGGGACAAGAGTGACGACAACCTGGTGGTGGATGAGGTGAAGCCCTGGCTGCCTGCGGGGTGCCCTGCTCTGCTCCCAGCTGGTGCAGGGCTCCGGCTGCAGGGTTTGGGGTTCATTGGGCTGCTGTGCTGGGGCCCAGTGCAGCGGGATGCTGGCACAGCTGGGGTTGGTTCTGAGCATGGCTGAAGGGCTGTGCCAGCTCATCCCTCTGCCCTCCAGCCCCACATCGGCTCCTCTCCCACAGCATCCCATATGGGGAGGAGGGCACGGCCCCCCTGCTCGCCTTCCCCAGCACTCAACCAGACGCCTCACACTCGCGCTGCTCTCTTGGTGCAGCTCAGGGGGTATTTTTGGGGATGTCCCTTTTGTTTTTCCCATGGAGGCTCTGGGGATGGACAGCACACGCAGCGTTTTGTTCTTTATTTTTGTTTTTTCTTTTCCTCCCCCTCCTGTCGCTTCCCAAGAAAACACAGAAAGGAACCTCAGCCGGGAGTTCTGCGGAGAGCGGCACATTAAAAACTGCTCAGTGCTGTAATTGTGGTGATAAAAATCACAGCCCTAATTGAAGGCTTATAGGGGAGCGAGAGCTGATGGGTGGCCTTGCCTCCGAATCCTCCCCCTCCGGCACGAAGGGGCTGCAGTTCCTGCCCCACAAAGACCCCTTTTCTCCTCAGGACCCCCCCTCGGAGCCCAACAGCCCTGGCAGCCGCCCTCCCCCAGCCCAGGATGTCCCCGAGAGCCCAGCCTCCAGCCGCAGCCCCACGCCGTGCCGACGGAAGGAGCCGGGGCTGGTAAGGGCTGTGGGCAGGAGGGGGGGCTGCACCGCGGTGTTCCTGGAGGGTTCCCCAGAGCTGCGGTCAGAGGTCTGTGCTGGTGAGGAAGGGGATCCTGTGCCAGCAGGGCCGTGGCTCTGCAGGTTCGTTTCGTCTGGCTGCCTGAAGGATTCCCCAGAGCTGCTCTGAGCAATCGATCTCCTCTCCTCTCCTCTCCTCTCCTCTCCTCTCCTCTCCTCGCCCCCCCTCTCCTATTGAAACATCACCATGGGGGGGAGGGCTGCCTCCGTCACCCCCCCTCCTCAGCCCCCCACTCCCCTCCCAGCCACCGTGGGACCCGCAGCCATTCATCCTGGCTGCCCCTGGGGTCAGGAGCCGACTGTGGGCGCAGGGAGCACTGAGCTGCTGCTCCTGGGACAATCGGATTAGAGCAGACAAAGCGCCCTGAGCAATCTGCCAGCACAGCACGCAGCTTTGCTCTGTTATTAATTTTTTTTTCCCTCTTTCCTCCCCCCCCCCGCCCCCCCCGTTTTTTCTTTTTTTTTTTGGGAGGGAGGAGGAATGGCTGCGGGGGGAGAAAAAGAGGAAAAAAAAAGAGAACCAGGGAGGAAAATAAAAAGAGGAATGAGCAAAGGCGTGGGGTGGGAGGGGGGGAGCGCTGGGCTGGGCCCCCCCTGTGCAATGGGGAGCAGCAGAGCCGTGCCCAGTGGACCCCCCTCACCTCGTGGCTTCCTTAGGGCTGGTTTTGATTCTGCTCCTCCTTTTTCTTGCAGCCAGACCCCCCCATGGCCATGTCCTCCTCGTCCCCCCCACCCCGTGATGCCCTCACACCTGGTGTGGGGCCCAGCTCAGCCACCCTCAGCCTGCAGCCAAGGATCCCCCTGGTGAGTGCCCAGGGATGCTGTGATGCAACGTGGGAACCTCCAAAATCGCTGTGTGGGTGAATGTTGGAGCGCTCAGGTGGGACTCGGAGCCACGGAAGGGTTTGTGCCAATGTGGGCATGGCCAGGAGGGCAAGTTGGGGCTGTGGTGTGGGTGCTGGTCCTCTGGTAGGGCTGAGGGTGTAATTAAGGGAAGATGTGGGCTGAGGGCTTGGGAAGAGCTTGGCTGTGGCTCAGTGAAAGGGACCAGAAGTGGTGGGAGGAGGGGAAACAGTGGGGAGAAACAGAGCCCAAACAGAGATGTGACACCTTCGTCTGGGCTGGAAACTAACAGAGGTTTAGCAAAGATGGATGTCAGCAACATCCCGCAGCCCTGGAGCAGAGCTGGGCCCTGCCTGCCACAGGGCACCGTGGAGTGAGGGACCAGGCTGTATGGGGCCAACGTGTGGGGCCTGGGGGCTGCGCCGCTCCTCCAGCATTTCTCTCCCCTCTCCCCACAGCTCTCCGCAGCCCCTCCGTCAGCATCTCCAACCCCTTCACCTCCCTGGGCCTGCTGCCCCACGCCGCTCTCAATGGAGAGCTGCCATCCTCTGGTGTGTACGTGGGCCTCCAGCTCCCAGCACAGCTCAGCAGTGCCGTGTACGGGCGCTCAGCCCCGGTAAGCCACCCAGGGGCCGGGCAGGGTGCTGTGCGTTGGTGCCGGTGCTTTTGGAGCTCCCGGTGCTCACAGTGCTCTGTTCAGGTGGCTTTCGAGTCACACCCTCACCTGAGAGCCTCCACGCTGCCATCATCCCTCCCCAGCACCCCTGTGGGGAAACCGTAAGTGGAGATGGAGGGACGGAGGGGACAAGAGGGGGGGGGACGGGACGCCGCCATGGCAGCGCAGCAGTGGGGCCGTCCCCTCCCTGCTGCGCCGTCCCCATCGCCGCTCCTCTCTGGCCCCGCCGTGGCACCGCGCGG